GTTTTTGTTTTAAGTTTAGTGTTAAACTATTGGGCTATTTTGCTATATATTAGTTATTACACAATTACACAACTATGCTAATTGTGGATCTCAAGTGAATCACTCCGTTATCAAGAAAATTCTTTATATAAAGAGATACTTCTTGAAGGTGTACTTTTTTTGACAGAAGTCCACTTCAACATCCCATCAAATGATTAAGCTTTTTTAACCAACCCTACGTAAAAATGACGGATTTCCAAATGTTGAGTACATCTGAAATTTTACAGCTTAATATAGAAGAACTTGTGCCAAACAATTATAAGGACGGAAAAGGTATGAACGCTTTCTTCTTGTACAGGAGGGAATTTACAAAACGTTCAATGGAAAATGGCATAAAGGCCAAAATGACCGACATATCGAAATGTGCCGGTCAAGCTTGGAAAAACGAGAAACCAAGGGTTAAAAGGGCCTATGCCAAAGTCTCCAAGAGAATAGATGAGCTTTTGCAAAAGAGGAAGCCAAAAACGAAAGATTACCCGATAATTTTTGATGAACACATGAAAAAAGTGGTTCAACCACATAAACCGGAACCTCCGATTCCCATTCCTACAACTCCGGCTTTAATTGATCCTCCCCAAGACGAATTTATTTATTGCACTTTAAACGTAGACGATATCACCCTCCTGTATTTGAATCAAATGCCTCCAAACTATTTCGCTCTTTAGGCTTGATTGATATATGGTAAATAAACACTTATATTTGATAGAATTAAATGCTTAATTAAATTTTATATCTATTAAATACATAATTTTTGCCTTAACTTAACAAAGCATAAATTAAGTAATTTCAGTTACTTAGCAAATATTTAAGTGATGGGGGATATGAAAAAAACATAAGTTCTAAGATATTATGTATGGGGGATTAAGAAAAATATGATTTTAATAAATAAACACGTATACAAGAATTTATATATGTTATATATGGACCAGTGATATATTTGTAAAGTTTTCACATTTTGTTTTAAAATAATAACTTTATTGCCTCGAATTAATGTACACATATATAAAGATATTACTGTTTATTTTAATATAATTGTATTGCTTTAATTAACGTTAAAAAGTGGTTCAAAAACAGCATATTCAATAAAATATAGTATAGTATGGTAGTACAGATTCAGGCAGGTGTATCGGTATATAATAAATTTTGATCGTACGTACGTACGTACGTACAGTAAACATAGACTTGTAATATTTGTTCCTTTTTTAATGGGTAAGGTTAGGGCAAGTGCTAGTATTATCCCTTTTTTATATTATGGCAAAATACAAACTGTGAGAAAAAATAAGCATTGATTTGAAGAAATTTTTCTTTACAATTCGTATGATTTCCATACTATGTATCCTTCCAAAAAAGAATGTACCAGGAACGGAGTATGCTTGCAATACGGAGTGTATGGTTTCCTGCCATCTAGAATGGCGTGTAAACAAAATCTTA